AGCCTAATAAAAAACCAGGTTTGAACAATTGCATATGGCACAGGAAAGCAGGCAGAGGACCCAAAGGAGCAGGCCAGCGGGTTCTCCTCTTCCCTCGCCAGACATCACTAACTCCTTCCTTTCAGCTTTCCCTTGGGGGCCCTGGAAAGGTGAGCATTCCCTCCTGGGCTTGAAACAAGGATTAGAGAGAGTCTCTGTTGGAGACATACTATGAATCTGGCACAGCTTGGGAGAAACACCCACAGCAAAGTTATTTATTATCCTTTAAACCCTGGAAGTCCCAGTGCATTTGACACATAGAGCAAGAGCAGCAACAACAAATGGAGGGTCTGGGCTGTGTTTTCCCCAATTGGTTGCTCATTCTCTCTCTCAAACTCTCCCCTGCAAAGTTGAATTTGTTTCTGATATGTTTCTTAGGTTAGTAGGTCCATCGTTCTCTTACTCTGAGAGAGACGCATGCAGATGTAGGTGTAAGTATGGGTGAAGGTGCAAGAAAAGGTAGAAATGTAGGAGAAAGTGGAAGTGTAAGTGTCCAACTTTCTCTTGATGCCATTACAAGAGTAAATAAGGCCAGTCAGCTCTGGTCTGTTTAATGGATGACCGTGAGTCAGACGGTGGGGCTGTCACATGCAATGCCTTCTTTAGAACCAAGGAATCTCTCTCTCTCTCTCTCTCTCTCTCTCTCTCTCTCTCTCGTCTGCTCATCTCGCCAATCCTTACTCTGCATAAAACCATTGAAGCCTAGATTTGAATGTTCCTGTTTTCTCCAGTTATGGATTCCTTACAGCCCTTTAACTTTTGGGCTGCTAATATTTCAAGAAAAAGGTCAGTTGCATTAATGGAATGTAGCATAAATGAAAATAATTTCAGTTGCGCAGTATATTTTCCTGCCTGCCAAGAAACAAAAGTGCCTGTGGTTTTCAAAAAACGGGATGCTGCATATTAGAAGCAAGAAAGAAGTGTCTGTTCTTTGTCCAAAAGAGGCTGCCTTGAAAACTCTTGCCCAGTCATTAAAGCAGAGATGTCTGTTTTCTTACAGTGAGGTCTTTTGCTCTTTCAATTGCATTTTCTGCCACACTCATGCTATTTTGTTTACGCTTGGGGGTCTCTTGTTAAGAAAAAGGAAAGTAGGTTAGTGGAAGCTTCTCAAATTCTTTTCTTGTGTGCCTAAAGTCCCTATGGGATAGATTTCATAGGTTCTAAAATAAAAGCAGCACTGACTTTAGGTTTTCTGGCTCAGATAAATATCTTTAATCACTTTCAAGTTAAAGTAAAAGGAGCTTGGCAATGGGAAACCTTGGAACATTTTCATTCCTAAAAAGAGAATGTGGGGACGCATTGCAGATACGTGTATAAATCGTCTTGTGAGCATCAGAAGGATTCCTGATTCCTATATTGCTTTCAGGGTCCCCTAATCAAAATAGCCGCTACTTGTTTCAGTTAGTATCCATGTCGCTCACGCACTCTGGGCGGGTACCAGAAGGCAGCTGCTCAACTTCAGTTTTTCCCTCCAGAGCCGAACCTTGTCTTTACGAGACACATTGTTGCTCCGGAGGTTGAAGACAGATTCTAAGTAGCAAGTGGGCTGGATCTTCACCAAGCAGTGGACAAGACCACCAGTTGACAAAGGCTTTGAGTCTGCCTGTAGTGTCCCCTTCGTCTTTCCCACATGGACGACAAGGGAGGCTAAGTTGAGGAATGTGCCCCAGGAGGACTCAACAGTGATGGTCAGAAAAATGCACACCCACCCAGATCTGCAGGTGATGTGGATTATGTCCTTTAAGAGAAGGCCAAGGAGCTGATTAATGTGGAAGGGTTTAGATATCTAGCTCCCTTTTGGTCCCTTGGCTCTGAAGTGAGCAAGAATGACATGTCATGCCAAGTTTAAATCCATCTTGCTTTGGGGACCAGAATTCCTGATGCGCTGGGGAATTTTTTATTTCCAGGGCGATTGCTTTTCAGATTCCACCTATTTTCCTTCTTATGTTTCAAAATTCAGCTCTTATTAAGTACAGCTGCATCATGAAAAAGAATAGCCACTCTTCCCCCTTGGCTGTTTCAACTCAACGATGAAGGAAATGAAGAGAAATCTGGGAAGAAAGTTCTCCCTTCTCTGCCTTCAGAACTCTTGTAGAGGCAGAGCATGAACAGTTGAACGTAAATATCCCCTTGATAGATGGGGCCAGCCCGGTTGCGCAGACATTCACTTCACAGCCCAGGGTTCAGCAGCCCTGATCCGGGTGTGGACCTACACACTGCTTGTCAAGCCATGCTGTGGCAGGCGTCCCACATACAAAGTAGAGGAAGATGGGCAAGGATATTAGCTCAGGGCCAATCTTACTCAGCAAAAAGAAGAGGATTGGTGGTGGATGTTAGCTCAGGTCTAATCTTCCCCCCAAAAAATATTCTCTTGCTGTATCCTTTTAAAGAAATGGCTATTATCCAGCACATAACAGAGAGGCAATGTGTCAAGCAGTTGTCACCAGTCATCTGCTCACTGCTTCCGATTTCTTGCTGAACCCCAAAACTACATCCACACAGAAACTTTCTCCCCAGTGACTTCCCTGTTTTCTGCATTGAGACTTAGTTCCACTTATTTTTCTCTTACAGGGAAATGATTGGTCTCAGTTTTGTCTTTATTGGTTTATTTTCAAACTTCTCCTAAAAGCAGTACTTATTGTATTAGGTTGATGGTGCTACCCATCATTCTCTGTTTCTAAGTAATAACCCAGTTCCCATGCTGAGGTAAATCTCTCTATCTCGGACCTCAGAGTTGATCTAGTTCAGTCCGAGATGATTTTCTCATAAGAGCATTAAACTTTTTCATGGAGGCAATTAAGGCTCCCTGTCATTTTAGAGGCTTGGGCAATCACTTTTATCAGAAATATTGAATCAATTCCCCTTGAAGATCTCACCTTTTCAAAACATCAACTATATCTGACATTGATTTCTAGAAAATTCCCATTGACTCATGAGCTGGACCTAGACATCGATTTCAGAAGATGGACCTACATTTTCTAAGTAACAGGGTTTTGCTTTCTTCTTGTGATGTAATACGGCCCTGATATTCCTAATACAAATTTATGAACTTTGCACTGCTAAATTGATGCTATAAAAACAAAATAATTTTCAGACCAAAGGCCATGTATGTATGATTTTGACAGCCCTGTGCATCATAACGCAAGCAGCAATTTTTCTTAATATCAGCCACTGAAACAAAGTTATGTGTGAGTGATGTTGCTATTATATGGAACCACTGATGGCCAAGCCAAATGCAGTGCGATTTCTCTTCTGGAAATTGTTCACTATTTCAGCCTTGTATGCATTCAGGTACTAAAAAAAATCGTTTTGAACTTCAGCTTCAGGTTGCCCTGCCCCCGACTACATGTACCAAAACTTCCAAGGGAAACTAAACCATCCCAGAGCGAAGTCATATCTATTTTGGATCACCAGATCATATAAATGATCCACATGTTTATCTGACTCTTTATTTTCCTCCTCTTAATTAAAACTCTTGGAAGTTAGTTTACTGGCATTTTTAACCTACTGCACTTTTGCCTAAAGATGCGCTTTATAAAATTTCTACCAGTAGTACCACACCAATAACCAGGTGGCTTTCAGGGATGCTTGTTTATTTTGAATGCAATGTCTTGGCCATTTTTTATTTTTAACTTCACAGGGAGAAATTCAGCATTTGTACTTTTTGTTTGGGGCTCTAATCACTGGAACAAACTCGAGAAAAGAAAACAGAGCCCAGAGGAATGAGGAATAATTTACAGTTAAGCCCATGAAGATGAAAGGGAGAGAGCAAAGAGGGAATTCAGGACTTCGCAAGAGTTCAGCCTGACCTGCTCCCCAGTCTTGTTGACGTCCTGACGAAGCTGAATGTCGCTCTAACCCACTGCGGGCTCCGAGGGCGGGCCTCCATCTTTGCTTTCTGCTCCTCTAAGAAGTGCAGCAAGAGGACCTCTGGGAATTTGAAGTTATTTTTTCCTGCCTGGCTTTTTTCAAAACTGCTCCTTCCAGTCTCTTTTGTCTGTAATGATTTTTTAAAAAATTTTGCCAAGTTCTTATACATGATATTCAAAGGGCTCTGCTCACTTTTGACTTCATCGATTTGCACACTCATTTATTTCCTTCATTCTGTCAATGGACCGTTATTAAGCTCCAATCAGGACACGATGCTAGGGCTTTGGGGGAAGGGTAGGCACCCCAACAGGAGTTAGCAACATTCTTGCCTGCTGAGACATTAGAATTTAGAAGTGGAGGTGGGCTTTGGTCATGATACAACGTACAGTATGTTAGGTACAATGGAAGTTTATGAACAAAATTTTATGGAAATTCCAAGCTAAAAATCTCTCCTTGGTAAGAAGCTCTGAGAGGACTTACCCTTGGAATTTGTTTGGCCAGATGAACTCATTTTCAAGAAGCAGGAATTGGGCTCCTTGGGAGCAGGAAGTAGGCAGCGGGAAGAGGAGGGCACCGTCGTCAAGGAGAGGGGAACTTTCAGTCTTACAGGAAGCTTAGGGCTCAAGGAAGAGGGTTGGAGGAACAGGTGAGCACTGGTCACACAGCAAATGCTGCTCAGGAGTGGGACCTGTAATGGAGACTCTCTCTTATAAACGCTTTAGGAATTTCATTTAGAATCATAAACTTTTACAGCTGGAAAGATGTTGGAAATGTGGGCCAGGCCATACACTTTGCAGATAAGGAACCTGAGGTCCAGACAGGTTACATTACCTGTCTGGGATCACACAGCCAGAGACAGAGCCTAGACCAGAACTCTCCAGAGTCAGCTTTCTTTCTTTTTTTGCAGGGAAAGATTCACCCTGAGCTAACATCTGTTGCCAATTTTCCTCTTTTTTATTTTTCCTCCTCTCCAAAGCCCTGATACATGGTTGTATATACTAGTTATAAGTCCTTCTGGTTCTTCTGTGTTACCCACTGCCACAGCATGGCTACTGACAGATGGGTGGTGTGGTTCTGCAACCAGGAGACAAACCCTGGCCACTGAAGTGGTGAGAGCACTGAACTTTAACCATTAGGCCATCAGGGCTGGCTCCAGAGTCGACTTTTTTATTGCTTGCAAGCAATAGAACTGGGTAAGAAGGAGATAACAGCATGAGAAGGCAAGATTAGAAGACAAATAAAGCCACACAGCAATTTTACTCCAGATTCAGGCTTGTTTTCTCAGGAAAGTAGAAGAGCTATCACTAGGATGTGCACTTTTGGAGTGAATTAGAGCTAAGGGTGGCCCACAGGGCCTCCAGACTGGAAGAGAGAGGCTCACGCACAGAGAACCTCTCTAACATCTTACCCTAAAGTACTCTGTCATCCTACACAGAGCTCTTGGCAGTCTTCCTTTTGACTTATGCTTATCTAGGAATGGACAACCAAGAAGAGAAGTTATTGAGGAAAGTCCATAATACATCAGAGAACATACAAGATAAACCAAGAGGAAAATATGACCTCAGAGTACATGGGGAAAAGAGACACCACTGCTCTTAGGTCTGGAAGATGTGAGCAAACACTCAGCTTCCGGTAACTCACCACCATAGTCACCGCAACCCAGTAACACACATTCAAATATGGAGTCTGTTTTGGCACAACTGATAGAAACAATTTTGTTATCCGAAGATTAGATGGTGAAGGAAAAGAAATGCCATTTAAATTGGATCCACCTACAACAGGAACCAAAACTTCAAGGTTTGATGGTGACCCCATCTTCACAACCAAACTAAATATTACAAAAAGTAAGTTTATTTTATTTACCAAATTTTATCTTACAATAGCAATGTGTAATTTTTAGAACAAAGAACTAATCAATTGTGACCTTTTTTTTTTGAGGGAGATGTAAGATTTTTCCACATGACACCTTGAGTTATATTCTATTTTTTCAGCATGACCGTTAAGAGGGTCATTTTTGCAGAAACATTTGGGAGTGTCAGTTCCCTCAAAGGTCTCTCTTAATCCTTTGGCATCCAGACAACTCTCTGTTGAAGCTACTATCCTGTTCTCTTCTACAATTATTAACTAAAAGGAAAAACTCTATAGATCCTCTTGTGTCAAAGCCCTCCCAAAGTTGCAGTTTTTGTCACCACTTTATAAAATCCTCTGTCTTTGCTTGAGTTATAGTTCTGTTTTGCAATTTATTTGCATTGTAGTTGCATCATTTGGACTTAGCTAGTTCAGGAGCAGTCCTCCACCCAATGTCACTTAGCAAGTTTATTTCAAGCATACAGAAGTTCCTTCTCCTCATCCTTATCCTTTTGGATTTTGGAACGGCTTAGGTCAATTTATGCTCTGAAACTAAAATGCTGGCTGAAAGTCTAATCATCCTCACAAAAAAATACCCATACACGTATACCCTCCACATTTTAAGGCTTTCATCTCTTTCATGTAATTGAATTTGGGAGGAAATGCATTGCCACTATGATCTCGTCAATTATGAAATCATGACTCCTATGACTTCTAAAATAACAATTTCAAGGTTAATTATAAAATCTATAATGTGATGCTATAATTTATATACTGACCCCTTTGGTAAAGACCATAATCAGTGTACCTGGAGGACATGGGCACATAGATGGCTGAGAAGTGGCTGGTAGGACTCACGGGCTCCATAAATTATACCCCCTTTGCCACTACAACAAATCCAGAGTGATAAATTCTACAGAGAGTGAGACTTTAGGTCAATGACTGCAGAGGGACATGATTGGATATCAGTGATGGTGGAAGATTCCGTGTCCAATTGCGACGGTCAATTTTGTGTGTCAACTTGACTGGGCCACAGGATGCCCATATATTTGGTCAAACATTATTCTGAATGTGTCTGTTACGATGCATCTGGATGAGACTAACATTTGAACTGGTAGACTGAGTAGAGTAGATTGCCCTCCCTAATGTGGGTGGGCCTCATCCAAACAATAGAAGGCCTGAATAGAACAAAAAGGCTAAATAGGAAGGAACGCCCTCCTTCCTGACTGTCTTGCGCTGGGACTTTGTTTTTTTTCCTTCCTTGAGGCACAAACCAAAACATTGGCTCTTCCTGGGCCTCAAGCTTACCAGCCTTCAGACTGGAACTTACAGCATCAGCCCTCCTGGTTCTCATGCCTTCAGACCCAGATTAGAACTACACTGTCAGCTCTCCTGGGTCTCCGGCTTGCAGACTGAAGTTCTTGGGATTCGTCATCCTCCATATATACATGAGGCAGTAGCCTCCGCCTCAAATGTTCCTGGTTCAAATCTCAGCTCTGCCATTTACCAGCTATGACTCATTTCGCTTCCTTGTGTCTCACCTGTAAAATGAGGCTAATAATAAAACCTACCCCATAGGGTTTTTGTAAGGATTTAATAAATGGAAACATTTAAAACAGTACATGGTGTATACTAAGCAAATATTAGTTACACACTTTGATCTCAGGGATAGGTACAGCTGACAAATCTTGCATTTATGCCCTTGGATTTGGTGTCTCCTGGAGCCCAGTCTGTTTCACTGATGGGGTGTTGAGATCTAGCCCATGCTCTCTTGACATCTCATCCCTGCCCTTTGTGACCTTTCCCTTATTTCTCCATCTCTTAATTACTGTGAATCACAATCATTCCTGTGAATATTTACATCCTGGGGTGACATTGTCACTCTGACAAACAGAATTCATCTCAGAGATCTCATAACTCAGAATCTCAGAAAACATTAGAACTAGACTGCAGCTTAGAGAGAATTTACTAAAAACAGATTTAGAAATTTTTCTCTTTTATAAAGATAATTAAAAGTTATACATGCTCTTGGCAATAAAATTTGGAAAGCAGAAAAAAGATCATCTTCCCTGAGTTTGCATGGTAGATAAAGTCACTTCATTCTTTGAACTCCCACAGTAATTTTTTATAACCCTTTTTTATAGCACTCGATGGTTTGTGTTTCTCACCCATCTTCCCCGAGACTGAGACATTGGAGGAGAAGGCCACCCTTCTATGCCCCAGAGTATGCCCTGTGTCTGTCACCTTCGTTCATGAATGGATGTATGACTAAATTACTGACTATATTATATGAAGCAATGAATGGGTGAGTGAATGAATGAAGGAAGGAAGGAATAAGACTAATAAGGATTTTTCACCACACTCTTATCCGATGGGTGCCAGATCACTTGAGACTGGAATGAAAGTCCTAACGATAACTCAGGCTGTATTACATGTGTACACATTTTTATGACCTACATTGAAAATTAAGCACTTGATAATGACCTATTTCATTTTTATGAATGTGTAAATTAGGATAATAAAATCTGAAATTGAATTCACAGACCAGCCTCAATTCAGCCATCTCCAGTTTTCCTTGCTATGTCCTTTCTAGGGCACTCTGCTCGGAATTTTAGTTCAGTATATTCTAAAATTTCCTGGGTTATCTCTTCCCCTTTATTAACCTTTTCACTGAATCCAGTTGTTCCTTTTAGACATGACTGAATGATCCAAGGTTAGATGTGGTAAATAAAGAAGTAGATTCAGAAAGGTATGCCTTGAGGAGCCTTTGGTATTAGCACTTACAATTGTCCTTTTCTGTGGCTTTCTCAGAAATTTAATCATAATTAGCTCAAATATAAAGAGCTAATAAAGGACATTAAAAAATTACATAGATCCTGGACCTGATCAAGCTTTTCGATTCATTAATAATTTGCAGGAAATACAGAGGACAGAGAAACATGGAAGGATAGCTAGCAAAACCACAACTGCAGGAAACTCTATGAGGCAAAGACTGGTCCTTCAAAAAATAAACTGAGAGAAAGCAAGGTGTGGAGAGAGAAGGGGGAGACGAGGGGGTAACCTATAGATTAAAAGAGACTTAAGAGACACATCAACCAAACCTAGGCTGTGGACTTTATTTGGATCTTGATTCAAGCACACAAATGATTAAAATAAAGTGACATTTATGAGATACCTGAACAATGTATGTTAAGAAATCATCGTCAATTTTAAAAGGTGAGATAATAGTATTGTGGTTGTATATTTTTAAAGTATTATTATCTTTGACAGGTATATACTGAAGTATTTATGAGTAAAATGATTTAATTTTTCAGATTCAAAATAATGTAGGATGGACTTCCACTTCCAGCCAAGATGGAGTAACAGAGGCCAGATTTACCTCCCTGCCTGAAACCTCCTCTCCTCTGAAAAATACAAAATATATGAAGCAATGGTTTTTAAAGCAGTAGACATGAGGCAACAAAGGACAGTCTTCCCTGTGAGACGGAGAAAAAAGGAGGTGAGTCTTATCATTGCCACTGCATCCTGCATTGAGAAAGCTTCTAGATGATGGCACAGGAAAGATATACCCCAAGAAGAGTCCAAGGACTCCTTGAGTTGAGGAGACAGAGCTGAGAATCCAGGGAGAGCATTGTTGGCAGGACAGAGAAATGCAAATGAGAAAGCCACACAGAGAAAGAATCCCAGAGCTATGCAGAGTCACCCTTGAGCATTCAACAGGGTATAGGTCTGTACACACATGTGAGGAAAGTATCTGAGGCTGGGGATAGAACTATTCAAAAAAGAAAGAGGGAACAGTGCCAGGCCTCACACAAGCCTGGGAATAGTGCCTGCTCCCACCAAACAGGCTAGAGACCTGTCATTCGAGGGCCATTGGGTTGAGTGTTGAGGAAGGTCTTGCCTCAGTAGTGGTGGATAATTAGACCTAGATTGAGCATTGCTCTGAACTTGCTTAACAAATCATAAAAGCAAGACCCAAAATGATCAAGCTCTTTCCAAGTAACTTACCTGCATCCCAGAACTATGCTCAAGAACATTTATAAGAATACAACAATATCCTCCACCTGACAAGGTAAAATGTATAATGTCTGGCATTGAATCAAAAATTACCAGGAATGCAAGGAAGCGGAGAAATACTACCTATAATGAAGAGGATAATCAATCAACAGAAACTAACAGGGAATTAACAGATTTTAGAAATAGTAGACAAGGATATCAAAAGCTATGACTGTATTTCAGGTGTTCCAATGCAGTGGTTGGAGTGGCTATAGCAATATCAGAAAAAATAGAGTATAAGACAAAAAGATTGCTAGAAACAAAGAGGGACATTTTATAATGATAAAAGGGTCAATTCATCAGGAAGATAAAACAATTTTTACATAGGTGCACCTAACACCAAAGCCCAAAAATACAAGAAGCCTGACAGAATTGAAGATGTAGTTGGCAATTCAACAATAATAGTTGAAGACATCAATACCCCATCTCAGTAATGGATAGAGCAACGAGACAGAAAATCAGTATGTAGATAAAAGATTAGGACATTATCACCCGACTTGACCTAATATCTGTAGAACACTCCACCCAACAACAGCAGAATATGATTTCTTTTTAAGTGCCCACAGAACATTTACCAAGATAGTCTGTAATCTGAGCCATAAAACAAGTATTAGTCACAACTAGAAGAACCCACAACTAAAACATACAACCCTGTACTGGGGGGATTGGGGGGAAAAAAGTAGGGGAAAAAAAGAAGATTGGCAACAGTTGTTAGCTCAGGTGCCAATCTTAAAAAACAAACAAACAAAAACAAGTATTAATAAATTTAAAAGAATTCTAGTTATAAATTACATTATAATACTTATTATTATACTATAATAAATCACATTAGAAATCAATAACAGAAAAGTATCAGAAAAATCTCCAAATATTTGTAAATCAAATAACACACTTCTAAGTTACCAGGAGTCACAAAATAAATCAAAAGAGGATTTACAAAGTTTTCTCAATTGAATGAAAATGAGAACACAACATATCAGAATTTGAGGGGAGCAGCTAAAGCAGCATTTACGGGAAAATGTGTAACAATATAGAGCTATACTAGAAAAGAAGAAAAGTCTCAAATCAGTTACCTCGGCTTCTACTTTAAGAAACCAGAAAAACAAGAGCAAATTTAATCAAAGTAATCAGAACAAGGAAAATGATTAAGACCAAAGTGGAAATTAATTCAATGGAACATAGAAAAACAGTAGAGAAAATCAATGAAACAAAAAACTGTTTCTTTGAGAAGATCAATAAAGCTGATAAAATTCTAGCTAGACTGATCATGACACAGAGACAAAAACATAACTTAGTATCAGGAATGAGGAAGGTGACAATGTTATAGATTCTACAGATATTAAAATGATTACAAAGAAATATAATGAACAACATTACACACATAAACTTGACAGGTTGGCCAAAATGGACAAATTTTTGAAAGACATAAACTAAAGCCCACTCAAGAAGAAACAGATAAACTGAATAATTCATATCTATTAAAGAAATTAAACGTATAGTTAAAATACTTTCTACAAGGAAAACTCCAGGCCCAGATGACTTCACTGGCGAATTCCACCAAACATTCAAGAGAGAAATAATACTAATTCTATACAAACTCTTCTGGTAAATTCAAGATGATGGAATATTTCTCAACTTATTCTGTGAGGTCAGGGTTACACTGGTACCAGAATTAGACAATGATATTATGAGAAAAAATATCCATAGAAAATAGGGATCCTTACAAAGTTATTGAGATCCACTGAGACAACCAACCCTCAAATCCTCTCTATTCTACCTTCTAATTATCAACTATCTAAGTTATTTCTTCCCATCCCCATGAAATTTCAGGCCCCCTCCTGTTTATCTGATTGATAACCCAAACCTCCTTACTATCTGCCCTTCTGCCTTCAATCCCCCAAATCCAGTCTCCATACTAGGCGTGGAGGGAAATTCTTAAAATGTAAATATTGGCCTCAAGGCCCTCCTTTCCCCCAGATTTGAGTCTAAACTCCTTAACAAGACTTTTAAGACCCTTCATGATCTGGCCTACTGGTCCCCAGGTTCATCTCTTGTCTCTCCTCTTCCTCACGCTTCTCTCCATGTTCCAGCCACACTGACCTGCTTGCTCTTCCCCAGCACTGAAGTCATGTGCTCGCTCTTTCCTCTGGGCTCTGATATCCACAGTTTCCCCTTCTTGGAATACTTTCTCTACCCTACCGATCCTCATCTCATCTTCTTGTAATGAACTACATATATTATTTTAAGATAAATATCAATTCTTCCATGAAACCTTTCCTGCCTCAGCCCATCCACTCACTCTGGGTCAGGTGCCTTCCTAACGTTCCCATAGATCATTTCGTTACCACTGCTGCAGCATTTATTATAATCTGTTACAATTGTCTGCTTATTTTCTCACTAGGTTCTTGCCTCTTTGAGGGCAAAGACCATGCATTGCTCACTGTGGTCCTCCCAATGTCCAGAACACTGTGAGACAGAAAGGATACTCAACAAATATTTGTTAAATGGATAATAAGTTCCATTTACTAAATGCTTACAATTTTCCAGGCGCTGTGTTAGGGACTTTATGAGTATTATCTTTTTCTCATCACATCCATCCAGGAGGTACTGTTCTAATATCCCCTTTACAGAGGAGGAAACTGAGGTACAGAAAATGATGTAACTCATCTGACACCACACAGATATATTGTAGAGTCAGAATTCAAACTCAAGTCAATGGTCTCTTGGGTCTATACTTCTAAGCACAATAGTTTACAATTGAATGAATGAATGAGTAAATAAATGAATGAATGATTTCAACTGCTGCTTACTGAGTACCTGCCATATGTCAGGGCCTATTCTAGGTGCTGAGGATTCCATAGTGAATAAAATAGACCAAAATCCATGCCTTCAAAGAGCTTATATCCTAGAGGGGAAGACAGTCAATAAACAAAATACATAAATAATTTGATGTATTATGGAGCAAACAAAGGCAAGAAAGAGAGATTGGTGGTCACCCAATGTTAAATTGGGTGGTCAGAGGAGGCATCACTGAAAAAATGACATTGAAGCAATGACCTGAAGGTGAATAAAGGAAGAAAGCTTTTCTAACATTTCACAATGCTTTGCAGGCAAAGACTTCAGACAAATAATAAATAGATTCTTAGTGTGTGGATCATAATTATACTAAAAAACAATTTGTCTCATATTTTTAATTGTTAAACTTGGCAACCCTGCACTCATGGCAAAACTCATGTCTAGGTTAGACCAGGAAAAACTATTTCTCATCGCTCATTGTGGGTCTACAGGATCTGCGTTTTCCTGAAAATTCTGAAAGATGAGAGTGCAGGGCACTGGAGTATTAGCATGCAGCCTGAGCAGAGTTCTCCTTGGCAGAGTGCTCAGCTCCACATGGATGTCTCCCATAAGCGGAAAATATCATTTTGTGGATCTTGACAGATGGGTCTTGCCCATGAGGGAGGACATTTAGGACGATTCATACCAACTGGCATATCAACAGACTTTGAAAGAGAGCTATTAAAAATGGAATTGTGTTAGCTCTGATTTATGCTGAACAAAATAAGCACAACAAGAAACCCATTAGAAGGAAGACGGAAGACATTTAACATTTGAGGACTTTGAAAGGCAGAAGAAGAGCGCATAATTGATTCTTATTTTGCCAGGTTGTAAAATTCTGCTTTTCAAGAAGGAGCTAATCGTATAATAATTTTTCATTGAACCTAAAATGTTATCTAAACTTAGGCAGAGCTGGACATGCGTATGAGTGGGCTTCCTCTTATGCTCTAAACTATACAACCACATGGCAAACTCTAAATTGAGAGCAGTTATAACAAGTACATCCCCTGACAATAAGTCTTTCGATTGCCTTCCCTCAACTCTAGTCTCCATAGGCTCTTAGGTCCTTCATGTGACAAGCTTAAATATCATTTCCTCAGTGAGTAGTCCAGCACCTCCAGGACTCCATTAAATCTCAGTGTTTTCATAACTCATAACACTTACCACACTGGGAAGTTAGTTATACTATCTCCATCTTCCCCACTGGACTGGGGCTATCTATGTATTCACCTTCTCTATTACTATCTTTCCAGGACCCAGCATGGTTTGGGCACATAGATGGTGCTCAATAAACATGAATTGAATTGATTACAAAGGGGTTGGCAGCCTCACCAAGCTGAACTGATTATGGAGTCTTGTCTAATTTTAAATGAATAAGACTCATAGCAAAGTCAAGAAGAGTGGTAAATTGCAACTGTTTAAATAGTGAGTTTGTATAGCATTGCTTTTACAAGGGAAAAAATTATAAATGCTATTCATTGGAAAAAAGGTGAAGTCTCAGGAACCAGCGGTTTATCTCCTAAGATCAAAGGAATAAAGAGGGCTAACATATACATGGTGTGCTGGTCTATTCTATCTTAGATGGTAAGCTGAGTATGTATTATAGGA